ATCCTAAAGAATATATCTACAAACTTTCGTGAGTTTTGGATACTTCATTATTAAAATATAGATGAAAACGTTACGCGTCACTACTTTTGCCGGGGACTGTAAATATAATTTTTAGTTTTTCTGAAGGAATTATTCTAATTATTTTTTATACATTAACCAATTCTTTCAGAAAAATTATTTTTATCTTGATATTAAAAAAATATTTATTAATTAAGACTTTAATATAGAAAGAAAGTTTAATAAATTTTTACAACTGTACATAACTTTTGGAATCCATTAGATAATTATATTTTTTTATTTTTCAATATTATTTGTTTAAAGCTTCACAAAACTGTTTGATATTATTTAAGTTTGTTGTTTTATTGTTTCATTATTTCTTGATAGTTAAATGCAGTGGTTGTCATGGTAAACAAAATTTTAATAATACATTTTTTCCCTCCTGTTCAATTCCCTCCAAAACGCGATCGTTCGTCAACCGAAGAGATCTTGCTCAAACCCGACGAATTATCATTTTTAGTTCTTTTTAATTAACCATCCTTTAATAGTTTTTCGATGGGGGTTATATCCGGTGAATAAAAAGGCAATCAAAAATTCGAACACGTGGCTTTCAAAAAGACCTGTAACCTGTGTTCGGCTCCGGAAAAATTTAGATTAGTTTAAAATTTGATAATGTTATGCACCGGATCAAAATTCCTGACGACCACTGTAAATTATTACAAGTTTAATTGTCTATGTGCATATAATTCGTTAACTTGACTTGTAAAACAAGTGAATATTTGCCAATTATGAACTTGATTTTGGATATTAATTTTGCTGCTGTTTTATTAAGAACATATATTTCTCGCGAATGGGATACCTATTGTAAATGTACTCCTGAATACATGTACATGTACACGGTACATGTAATTGGTTCTATGAATAAAAGAAAAATTTTTTACATATTGATTATACATGTATGTATCATTTTTTTGACAGTTGACGGTTGCATGTATAAAAGTTTGGGCGATCATGCCCTTAAAAAAGAAACGAACTAGCGAATTTTAAAACGCTAACAATGCGTCATCTTGGAATTAAACGATTACCGTCAAGTTTCGTAAGTGATGTTTGTGTAAAAAGTTATTTTCTGGACACATTTACCTATCACTACTTACGTATTATCAAATTTATTCAGCATATACAAAGAACTATAAATAATATTCGGAAATTTAATAATAGCAGTGCTAGTAAAATAATTGACGAGAAATTCAAACTAATTTTCAATAAAGAAATTAATGATGCTTTGATAAAGCAGAAACCTATTATAGCTCTCGAGTCGACAATTATATGTCATGGTAAGGTTATTATTTTTGTATCGATTTTAAAGATATAAAAAATATACTGTTGAATTTATTTTATTAGGAATGCCATATCCGCAGAATCTGGATACTGCTTTGGAAGTTGAGCGTATTGTACGCCAAAATGGAAGTGCACCTGCCACTATTGCTATTCTTAATGGCCGAATTCATGTAGGTGCGTATTATATATATTATTAGTGTAGAAGAGACTGATTTCTATCACTTTACTTATTTTTAATAACTATAATGAAATTTAGGATTAGAATCAAAAGATTTAGAAAAACTAGCGAAAATGGGAAAATCCGTAAAAAAATGTTCGCGTCGAGACCTTGCGCTTGCTGTCTCTCAAGTAAGTTGACAAATATTCGTAATATGAAAGAAATTGCTTTCATGGAATGACTAGAAATGATTTTTTTTTGAAAAAGGGACTTACGGGTGCTACTACAGTTGCTGGAACTATGGCTATTGCTCATATGGCGGGGATAAAAGTTTTTGTAACTGGAGGTTTGTTTTCGTATTTACATATCCCTATCTTTAATTTCTTTTTACATGATTTCGCGTAATTTTAGGAATTGGTGGCGTTCATCGGGACGCGGAGACAAGTAAGTTGACTTATTTATATTTTATGGAAAATTCTTGAAAACAATACACAAACCACGCCACGCCTTTTTGGTTTTATATTAGCAATGGATATAAGTGCAGATTTAACAGAACTGGGTAGAACTCCCGTAGCAGTTATATGTGCTGGTGTTAAATCAATTCTGGATATTGAGAAAACGTTGGAATATTTGGTGAATTTTTCTTGTCTTTATAAATAGATATGTGATGAGTGCAATAGAAATGGCGTAAATTTTATTAGAAATTCTAATGCACTTATCCCATATTTCTTCTCGATTTGATTTAAATTCATGAATTTCCTTGTTATTTTAGGAAACGCAAGGGGTTCTCGTTTCCACTTTTGTCGAGAATAGAAATGGTAATGGTGATGATGATTTCGAGTTTCCTGCTTTCTTTACGCGAAAAAGTGGATTCAAAGTATGTGTTTCTATAATGAATAGCCGAAATTGAATGCAACGAATGAAGTCAACGTATTGAATTATAAAAATAATATTAGAGCCCTTCAAGTTTAAAAACCATCAAAGAATGTGCATCATTAATTTGTAAGTCAATATATAGCTCCCTTTATTTGTTTACATATTAATATACATGCATTAATTTTATTGTCACGAAAAAACAGACTATAATTCACTGCTCAATCTACAAAGCGGTCTTGTTATAGCAGTTCCTATTCCCGAGAAAAATGCCGCAGATGCTGAACTTATACAAGTGGCAATTGAGAATGCATTGATGGCGGCGAGGTAAATAAAATCAATTTATAATATATTATTCTTCTTTGTTAATCTTGGTATTTTAGAAACATAGGAGTCTCCGGGAAAGAAGTTACTCCGTTCCTCCTTAAGCGAGTGAACGAGCAAACCCAAGGGGCTTCTTTAAAAGCTAGTAAGCATATTTCTTCTATCTTTTTTTAAATTTATTGTATTCCTTTCTAATCCGTCTTTAATAAATTCTTTCAAGATATAGCATTAGTCAAAAACAATGCAATAATAGGAAGCCAAATTGCAAAGTGTCTTGCCGAAGACTTTAATTGTTCGCACGAAAATAGGGAAAATTATATTGATACGGTTTGTCACGCAAATTTGCTTTTGAGCAAAAATTTTAGATGTGTCTCACTTCCGAGTTTTTATTTACAGCATCATCCAATAAACGACATGAAACAAGAACAACCCACACAACAGAACAAGCTAGTAGTGATAGGTGGCATTGCAGTAGACATCGTATCGACATTGGATCCAAAATTTAAAGACTACCACCGCACATCTAGTCCCGGAAAAATACGATTCTCTCTAGGTGGGGTAGGACGAAATATTGCAGAAGCAGCTTCGAGAATAGGCGTTAGCCCACTTTTTATTTCGTCGATTGGACGAGATATACCTGGAACTTGGTTGTTAAATAAAATGAAAGAAATTGGAATGGTGTGGAATTTTCTAGCCTTACTGTGTGTGATAAAGTCTTTATTTAGCTTTTTAATAACGTTATGAAATAGGCGACTGAAGGTTTACAGATTTTGGATGAAAAACCTACGGGTGTGTACAATGCAGTTCATGATCCATACGGAGATTTGTTATATGCAGTGGCAGATATGGATTTTGATAATATTTCGGGTGATTTGGTTGGTATATTTTTTATTATATTCCTGATTACTAGTTTTAAATAGGATTAACCATTTTACGAAAAGATATCAGAAGCAATAAAGAAGAATAAACCGAATTTGGTCTGTTTCGATGGTAACGTTTCAACAACATGTATAACATCTATAATAGAAACATGCCAAGCTTTGCAGATTCCAGGTACTTTATTCCTTTGATTGTTGCCAATTACGATAAAAATCCTAAGCAAAATATATTTTTATTAGTCTTTTTCGAGCCTACTTCCGTCCCGAAATCCAAAAAAATTGTGATGCATTTTCGCTCACTCTTGCCCACGAATATTATCCGTTACACTTCCCCAAACAAGCTTGAACTTGCCGCATTGCACAATGAAGCTGAAGCACTTGGATTGTTTGATTATGAAGCGTATAGTCAAGGTAGAATCTCAATTTTTTTACTGTAGTTATCTTTTTTATATAAAATATTAAGTTAACAATGGTGGTGTTTCATCCTAATAGATCTAACAGATGTTGAAAAAGTGATCGGAAAAAGCAACGAAAAGTTATCTTTGCTTAACGAAGAAATATTCTTTCAATCTGCACGTTTACTTCCTTATATTCCAAACATTATAGTAACATTAGGCAACCAAGGAGCACTACTGGTACAATCGCTTGCTGATCCTCCATTAATCAGGGATGAATCGAAATTCCGCGGCAATAACTTCGAGATAATTGTGCCAAAGAGAGTTCGAGAAGATGGAAGAGGTGGTGGTGCGATACGGTTTCGGTATTTTGAACCAACTGTTGTTGAGAATGAGGAGGTGGTTAATGTGACCGGTGCTGGAGATAGGTATTATTTGCTTTTTATTACGAATAATTATTGATAAGGTAAAAAATTTTATATCAATACGATTATTATGTCACAATAGTTTTGCTGGAGCCTTAGCTGCAGGACTTTCTTATTATGGCGATAAGCCTATTGATGACCTTATTGATGGTGCACAGAAAGCAGCAGCATTAACGTTACAATCTCATGAGACGGTGAGCGAAAAGATTACGCCAAAATTATTGGCATTGTGAAATGTCAATTTTTTTATAATATAGACAACATGAAATCTTCATTGGGAATAGAAATAGATAATAATCAAAAAAAAGTTTTCATATCATAATATATAATTAGAACCAAATATTATCACATAGTTTCATTATAAAAATATTTCTTAGTATTAAATAGGGCCATTGTTGTTTCCGTTGGCATTCCCATTGAAATCTCCATTGTCTTTATTGCCGTTTCCAGACCCTATTATAAGACAAATAGATTGACATTAATATTAAGGTTAAATAACAATTGAACCTTCATTCAAAAACAAACTGACCAAGATTGCTTCCGATATTGTTATTTCCATTCCCGCTTCCGTTATTAATACCATAATCGAACGATCCATTCCAAGAACCGTTATCGGATCCGATATTATCATTACCATTGTGAGAGCCACTTGCAGAGTCTGTGCTGCCAATACCATTCCACGAACCATTATTACTTCCGACATTGTTGTTTCCATTGTCAGTTCCCGAATTTCCTACACCATTGTTGGAGCCGATATTATTACTTCCTCCGTTGTTATCTCCGACGTTCCATTTACCAGTGTTGCCACATCCAACGTTTCCGACCTCGGCTCTGCAGTCGCGTCGCTCATTCAGCAATGGTGCTGCATAAGTTGTTGATAAAGCAAAAAAAGCAATAGGAGCGATAAAAGCAATCGAGAATCTTTTTGATGCCATTATTTTATGCACTGGAATAGCACTACCGATAAAAATATAGATTGGAATTTTATATGCGGTTTTGATTGATAATTATTTTGAAACGAATTTGTAAAGCAAAGCCTGATGAATTCATACACTTTATATATACTACGAAATTCTGGCCTGTGAAATGAGTAAATAATTAAATATATTAACAATTTGTCACAAAAACAATATAATTACGTGCGTATATCTGGGCTTCCTTCTAATTTATCATATTTTTAAAGATTCACGCATTGCTATAAATAAAAGCATCCAGCTTCTTTTGACGGATGGGTTGATGGTGAAAAAAGAGAAAATTATCGAAGCATAATATTAAGCAATAATGTGTGTTGCTGTATATGTAAGGACTATATTAAAATAAAGATTGGAAGAAAGAATCGTTTGTCAGGTAATTTCAACTCTTAAAGTAGTACAATTACAATACAATTTTAATTGAACAATGAAGGTAGCCCATGTCATTAAAATTCTTCTTCGATGGATTCTTTTTCACTGTAATTATGACACAAACATATCAGGATTTTTTCATTCCTCAACGTTTCCAGTTAAAAATGAAATCGAAAATTTATTGATAAACAGAAAATAAAATTCGCAACTTCATCTTCTCGAACCATGTGAGTTCTGCATACGAATTTTCTATAGGCTTCCACATGCAAATACTTGACAATAAATTGAGCTTATTTCAATAAAGATCCATTATCGTAATTAAGATAACGCAGATCGACCACTCGTGTTATCGTTATACTGTATAAATTACAGTAAACAATAAAGTCAATATTGTCGTTTCGAATCAAGGCAAACTTGAAACGCATCCAAAACGGCGAGCGCTTCGTCATGCTTGAGAATGTTATAAACCAACAAATAAAATTAAACAAATTACGTGAAGAAGTTAAGAACTTGGTTCTTCAAGATAAACGAGAACAATTTTCTTCGCCATTGCAAGTTCCCATTGAATGGGCAGATATTGTTAGTAAAGGTAATTGAGATTACAAAGTCAATCTCTCTATAACGACATTTTTTTTATAACGGAATTCCTCAATAGCAACCAAATTTTCTAGAATATAAGAAGATTGACCTCTATATAATGACATCTCTTTATAAGGATAAGATTAGCCTGGATATTTGATGTCTTTATATAGAGTGTATTAATATCATATCAATATGTTAATAAATAATAAAAAATCTGTCTGTTTGTCCCTTTAATTAATCAGTAACAAGCTATGAATCTATGAATCGCCCGGCTAAAAGATATATTTGATCAATTATTTGATCTTTTTTAAAAGAACTCATCAACTCTTACAATGCTAACTATTTAGGATGCCATCAATATTCATCAATCCAAGAGTGACTTATCAAATATATGCAGACTTGGACGATCTAATAGCGAAATAAATGTATTGGGTCGGATATTACTGTATAATAATTTCTTAAATGATCAAAAAACTGATGAGCAACGCAATGCGGCAATGATAAAAGCCGCACGATATTTTCAAGAAGCAGCTGAAATAGGTTTGGCTGAGGCTCAACTACGTTATGGTGATTGTCTTTATAATAGCGAAGTGGTCGAAAAAAATGAAATCATTAGCCATGGAATATTTGAGAAATCAGCATATAATGGAAACTCAACAACCATGTATAATCTTGGATACTGTTATTACAATGGAGTAACTCGGGACGTAAAAAAGGTGCAGGGTGGCAGCATTAAAGCGTCGTCCAGAAGCTATTGATACATATATAGCAGTCAGTTTTAATTAATAAATGAAGAAAATCACAATATTTCGAATGATCTGTCCTTAGTAATATGAAAATTTGCAACTTTTCAGAGCTCGTTTTGTTGCCTATTTATCGATATACAATAATACATTATGTACAATATCTCAAAAGTATCACTGGTTCAAAATTATATAGTAAAACATATAAAAAAGTGAAATTTTCAACCTATATACATATTCATAATTTCTCTTAATAATTATTTCTAACTTTTATGCCATTCTAAAGTTTATCAACTATAGTTATCAAAAAAAAAAATGCGATACTTAAGATGCTGTTTTAATTATAAAATCATGAAAAAATTTTATATATATTTTGCTATGTAATTTCAAATCGTCGATACTTTGTGAGGATACAATACTTATATCTTATTCTCTCTAAAATTTAATCTATGAGAAGTTGTACAATACTTTTCTTATTTAATTACCTCTTCACAGCAATAGTTCTAAGAGTTATCACATGTATATAACTTCATATTGTCCCTCAGGCCTCTTTCAGCTTGCTGTTTTCTCGTGCACTAATGGTATCATAAAGATAAATTTTATTGCACTTGCATGATAACAACCGAAAAATTGATAATGATTTAACATTTTTATTGGTCTGATACGAAAAATCTCGACGAACACAATCCGAATGTTCATAAGCCCGACAAACGAAATTCTGAAAGAACAAGCATCCCGAATGTTCGAAATCTAAAATGAACGGCTTCCCCGAAAATCGATGCTATACTTTTGGGATTTCGATGTCGTTCATTCGTGATATCAATCTGAACGTTCGGAATTGTTTTCTTCAGGATTTTGAACCTTACCGCATTTTTACAGCTAGTCACCTCCTATATAATCACAAAATCAATAATCGCATTAGCAATTTTACCAACCATTCTATCTTTATTCCTAGGCGGATGCTAATCATGTCCCCTTGGTTATTTGAGACATAATTATTAAATAAAATTTCTAAAAGATTATATATTATCTAAATATGATAAGTTTGAGCATGTGGATATTGTTACCGATACTCTTTCTTATGCGCTTGATAAGATATAAAATTATTTATTTTAGCAATTTTGATATGGACGACCCAACGACATTATTCACGAACCAAATAAAGAGCATTAGGTAATCTGATTCAATTTTTTAAAACAGCAAATTGATTCCTAATTTTTTTCAAAAAATCAAAATAGATGGCATGGGAGTAAATATAAATCAAGAAATTAAGAAATATCTAAGATTATTATTTTGAGAATAAAGAAAAATCTAAGGTATTATATTTAGAAATAAAGAAAAAAGTGAATATTAAAAAGAATATATGAAGAAAAGTGAAAATAAAGTAATAAAGATAAAGAATAAGATTTAAAAGACTCAAAAAATAATCATTAATGATAAACTAATGAATATATATGTATCAATAGCTTCTGGACG